CCCAAAGATCCCGTCGACTCATAATAAAAAACTTCTTTTAAATTTTCAGTAGTCCGACTTTCCACCAATAGGAGGTCAGCTTTCCATTTTCGGTAAATTCCGCCTACATAAGGTCGAATTGCCCTCAATTGGCATCCGTATCCTGCGCAGCAGGAGTTCATGTTAATGGAATTTATTTCTACCTTGCAAACAATCTTATTTAATTTAATATTTTTTGATCAATTCCGCCACGATTACATATTCATTTACGCTCACTAGCCAATAATTAAATATTTGATCACAAAATACGTTAAGCATTTGGGCGGGGCGATAGATATCTAGAGGAGCCCTATGAGTCAGTTTTGCCAAAATGTCTAAATGATCGGAAGCCCGCCCAAATACACGGGCCAAAACATCCATTTAGTACTGAGCGACGCTGAAGTAAATGCAAATACAAGAGGCTTACTAAACCTGATGTAATGTTAATTAAAAAGAGACAATTTTCTTAGGACGTGTGGGAATACCGAAAGCGTAAAAATTTGTCAAATGCGTAAACGCGATTGATTGAAGTACTTAAAATATGCCCCACCTAAACAACTAAGTAATTTAACACAGGCAAAACAACACGAGAAAAGCCTTCTGTCATTTATAGGACTAAATGTCCTCAAAGCTCCAGTGTAAAACACAGTGTAGTCACTAGTCAATTAGCGGATGTTTGATTATATCTTCCGAATTAGTGTTACAGAAGTTTTATGTAGCGGCTTGTTTTTGCATTGAGAAAGAGACGCACTTGACTAGGACGAAGAGGCCCTCGTCTGATTTCGCGGATATAACTGTCACTAGAATAAAAGTCACGCCTCGAGAGGTCGTTCAGTTGTCAAAAAAGCAGAATATAGTTAGCAGTTACATTAACTAGCAAACAACGAAAAAATATTTTTTTGCCTAAAAACTGCTGTGCGCTTTCTGGTTACGAAGAAATCTGCTCAGATTCAGGACATGCTTGAAATGTCAGTGAATATTCTGCGGTTTTCAACGGCTTCAATCGACTGACTAAGAGGACGGATTTTATCGTTTGTAGTTATAGCATTTCAAAAATATGACGGTTTTTAAAAGCCAACGGAAGATGGCAGGGCGGTTCATATTTGTTGACTGACCCACACATGAGACCTAATCGCCGAAGAAAACGCCTAACGAAGGCTTGCAATGAATAAGCTCCTGATCAACCGAGAAATCTATAACAATTTGTGAATGAATGGGAACGTTCGCGTTCCGAGTGTTTGCACGAGTAAAGAAGACTGGTCGAGAAGCGGGACACGAATTTTTCACATTTGGGTAAATTGAGTTTGGCTATTATTCTTAGCTTACAAGAGTTCACCGTCAGAGATAGCACTAGTAGTAAAAATGAGCGCAGTTCAATCAAGTATCGATGATGTACGTCCAAAGCTGACTGCGTAGGGCTCTGTACGCCGGCGCCGAATCGAT